TCAGGTGGAGAAGGCTGGTGGGAGGCTGTCAGGTGTATCTGAGTGGGCTTTGGCAGATAGGGTGGGAATGGAGCTATTGATGGGAGACACCAGTGAATACACTATACTTAACTTTCCCGATGTTCCGTGCAAGCCTCCAGATTAGATGGAATAAGACATTAATTCTGCCTCCAAAAAGACCCAAAACAGAGAGAAGGCAACAGAGATTTGTGATTACAAATTAACTACTGGACTTTGGAGTCAGACTTCCTGGGTTTGTATCAGGTGTTATCACTTAAAAGATATGTGACCTTGAATGATTATTTAACCTCCGTGTGGATCTGTTTCCTGCAACAGAAATGAGGATAGATGATAGTACTATCTCATGGTATTGTGATGGTGAAATGAGATATTAAGCACAAAACATGTAGAAAAGTGGCTGGCACATGGTAAGCATGCAATAAATATTAGCTATTATTGTTATACACCCTAGCGGCATAAGTGAACGGAACAAGCTTTTTCAGGAATTTTCCTGCCACAGGGATCAGGGGTCCTTCCTGGAGGAGGTGATACACAAACTGGTTCTGGATGGAGTATGGGTTGAATTTAGACAAGTGAATATTGCTGCTACATGAGCAGAAGCCCAAAGATGGAAGGCAGGATGTGGGTAGAACTTGCAGGTGCAAGATACTTTACGTGCATTTTCTCTGATCTTCACAAGTCTTCCTACTGTCTCTTTCAATTCTCAACACATCCCTCTGAGAGCAGAATAAAATGCTGACTTTAGAGGTCAGGAAATCAAGTCTCAGAGAGGTTAAAAAAATAAAAAACTTGCCCAAGAGCAACCAGTCAGTGAATGGTAGATTTAGAATTGAAGGTTGGGGCTATAGAATCCCTAAGAATGTGCCCTTCATAGTTGTATATGCTCCTCACAGTCACATGTTCTTCACAGTCACATGCTCTTCACATGTGGCCTCTGCAGGCTGGGGAAGCTTGGTAAACAGGAAATTTGGTGGAATAAGGAGACTAAGGGAAGTAAGCTTGGAATCATACTCTAACCAGATCAGGCGAGCCTTGGATGGCCTGACTTAATTTTGACATTTTTCTATAGTTAGCGTGTAGCCATTGAAAGGAGTGTGTTGGTTACAGAGTTTCAGATCCTGAGCCGCAGGTCTGGCTGTGATTTTAAGCAATTCACTTAACCTTCCGGTGACTGAAAATCTTCACTGAGTATTGTGCAAGCACAAAGTGTTTTATTTTTATTTTTTAAAAATCTTTATTAGATTTTATTTAAGTCAAACTGATGGCATTGCCAGGAAGCAAGATTTCAAATGCTCCCAAGCACAGAACGTTTTAAACAACTGGTATTAAGTTTGCATTCTTTGCATCCTATCTAGAAATCAGGTGAGGAAGGAAAACCTGATCTTGAAGGAATCCGAATCTGTTAGGAAGTCTTCAGCTGCTAGCTCCAGAAAACCCCTGCATAATGGTTTAACCAATAAGGAGGTTAAATGGCGTCACGTTGACGGACATAAGTGGGGCTCAAGGCCTGAAGCATCAGGATTGGCTGGGCTCTGCTTCCCCAGAACTATCTTGGCTCTATCCTGCACGGTTTAGGGCAACAGATTCTTACATGAGAATGCCAGCACCAGCAGCACAGATCTGTGTGTCTTTCTCTCTCTACTAGAAGGAAGTCCTTCTCAGAGGCCCCAGCCCTGACTTTCCCTCATGGCTCATTGGCTGGGAGGGGGTCACGTATTCACTCCTGAATTAATCCCTAGCAAGATGAATTCCCACCATTCACTTTGAAGAATGGAAATCCCCACTGAGCTTTGAGCCCCATGGGAAAGGAGCAGTCAGGCCATCAAAATCTGGGTTTTGCAGCAGAGAAAAGGGCAGGGGGAGGCTGGCAAGTCTCAGTTTCTTTCAGCAATTTTTCTAGTCACATTTGACATTTACTACGGTCGATTTCTGCATTAAAACTCAGTCCTATTCAAAAGTTCAAAGCATCGTCCAGGTCAGAACAGACGTCTGTGCATGGGCCAACTTTGATGGAACTGGAGACATACTTTGGTCCCCCATCACCTTCTGTGCCCTGCTCTCTCAGTCCTTTCACTGCCCTGCTGCTAAAGCTCAAATGAATGGCCCTAAGGGGAAGTGTCAGGGAAGCTCCATATCCCACAGACTGGCTGTGCAGGCCTCGCTGCTGCTGGCCAGATACTGACTCTCAAGGGACACTGTGACTCTAACGAGGCCCAGTGTTGGAGAGGGGCTCTGGATACCTGCTGGTCTCAGATGTAGCACTATCAGAGAAGAGAGCAGACTTGTGTAGGATGGGAATAACATCCATCCTCCCCAAGGATGAATTCATCTGTATTAAATTCCTCTCTTAGGATCAAAAGTAGATCCTAAGCCAGACACTTAGCAAGGTAAGCATTCTTTGTTTTCTCCCATGATAATTAGCTCTAATGTTTTGCTTCTTTCCCATCAGCCATTGCAGGACACACCAGTGGCCTACCTGAGGAGCGCGGGGCTGTGGCGAGATGCTCAGTCTTGCGTATCACTTCCCCACACCCAGGCCAGTCACGGAGCCCTCAGGTTTGGAGATAGTCCCACCAGCCACTTGCTATTCACCCTTCCCCAGGAGTTGCTGAAACCCAGGTATTATTTAATTTTCCTGCCCTCATGCTAACTCAGAACCTAACCTCATGATTTTACTCCAGGGTAGGCAAGCTGGCATGACACCATGCATCTGTCACTGATGATGGTGACACTACCACTTTTGTGAAAAGAGGTGCTAGTCTGCACAGGACAAGAAGCATAATTGCCTGAGCGTGCTGCTCCCCACAACTGGAATACACATGTGATGTGTGCTGTTCAGAGGCTGAAACAATCAGCTCAGCTCCGGTTTAGAACTGACAGTGTTCTAAAAATAAGACTGATATTTCTTTTCAAAGCTGCTATTTATTTCTATGATAAATCACCTTTCTTCTGCATTCTGTAGTCAGAGGGAAATCATTCTTTTAGGTAGACTTGGTGCCAGACAGATCATTTTTAGAGAATACGTTTGGACTTTTTATGCTAAATTGCATCTCTTTTGGAGAGGAAGGAATGAGCAGAAATATTAATTATGTCAGAAAAAAAGTAGAAAAACAAGGTTTGTCATTTTCATGTGATTTGAAGGAGACATAAATAAAAGGTGCCAAAAATTCCTTTATGACTTATCTATAGGAGCAGAATTTCCCAGGAGTCCAAAAGACTTGGCTTTTAGTCTATGCTCAGCCATTTGCTGTCTGCGTGAGTGTAGGCCATATGCCAGGTCAGGCCTCCAGGATGCAGATGTTCAGATGGGATTAGATGTGCAGGAGATTTATTGTTCCTGCAGAAGAAGGGGGAGGGGCAGGAGCTGGCAGGGAGACCCCTAGGCTGAGATAGGGACCTGATGCCTGTGAAAGGAGATGGGAAGGAAGAAGTGGGTGGAAAGGTAGTCAGACAACAGAGTGGCTCTGAGAAAGTCAGGTTTTCTACTCCTGCCTTTTTGGGGTCTGTTAGTCAGACTCTTCTGAAAGCAAGTCGCTTTAAGAAATAATTCTGGAGAGCAATTGATAAATCTCATAACCAAGCCCACATATGTAAAGTACTTTAATGCTGTAGCCAGTTCTAATTATCCTCCTTACATTGGCTAACCCTCATTTTCCAAACCTCTGCACTAACACAGAGATACACCAAGAGAAATATTAAGCGGTGTCACCATCTGGTTGGCTTAATTTAACAAAATATAGACTTCTTTTTCATTTTGAAGAACATTACCCTCAAGGAAACTTGCTAATATGAAGAATTAAAGCACATCTCACTGTTTGCTCAGCCTCCCAGTATTGAAAAGCAAGGAGAAGTTAACAGTGTAATTTTTGATTCCGCTTCCTGATTTTGCCTCCAAATTTTTCATTTACCATTTAATTCAATTCAGTTATTATTTCTTGGGTGCCTAATGTGTACTAGGCTTTAAGCAGGATAGACCCAGTTCCTGCCTTCTGTCCGATGTGCACTTAGACATAAACCACAAAGAATGAGTGAGAACAGCCTATTAATGCCTGTATCTCCTACCACCTCTTCCCACTGCACTTTTAGACTCCCCTCTCAGTGCACCTGTGTACCATACACAACTCAAGGAATGAAACGTCAGTGCCCGCCACAGTGCCGTATACATACTACTCATTCATTAAATATTTGTTGAATGAATGAATAAATAAGTGAATGGATGGATAGATGAATGTATGTGAGTTTTCCTAGAAAGTAAAACTTATTTAGCCAGATGTGTATGATATGTAACCATCATACAAATGAATATTAACTTTCACTCTCTGCTTTTACTGCGTGATGCTTGCTTAATTCCTGTTTCATCATAGGTGGGGTTTAAGGTCCAAGAAATGTAAAGGTGGGTGAGGGAAGGTAAATCTGTACTCCTGAGTCTCTGTGTTAAATGTGTCTGACAGAAAGAAAATGCTTACTTGATGCTGAAATTGAATCATTGTTATTCGAGTTATCCCCTGACATGTCTTTCACAACTCCTTTTTGCATATATACAAAATTGAATGCATATTTACTGGATTTAAAAAGCATAGGTGGCTAAGTGAAATAAGCCAGTCACAAAAAGACAAATACTGTATGATTCCACCTACACGAGGTACATAGAATAATCAAATTCACAGAAACAGAAAGTGGAATGGTGGTTGCCAGGGGCTAGGGGTGGGGCAGGAGGAGGGAATAAGAGTTGTTTAATCGGTACAGAGTTTCGGTTTTGCAAGATAAAGAGTTCTAGAGATCGGTTGCAGGACAACATGAAGGTACTTTACTAAACTGAACACTTTAAAATGGTTACGATGGTAAGTTTGATGCTATGTGTATTTTACCATAATTTTTTTAAATGCCAATTTTTTTTTTTCAAATAAGGCATCTTCCTCCTTGCCATGTGCTGGGACTTAACACCATTAGCTAAGCCTGCTGTAGAACTTCCATGTTATTCTCCAAGGCCATATGTATGGGAATGATACAATAAAACTTTTATCAGCTGGAATATAATAACTTTTAAAAGTTCCCAGAGAGATGGGTTATTTAATCAGTACATGCCTTGGTTTATTCATTTAAATAATGAGAGTTGGAATATTTGCTGCTCGCACTCTCTCCCAGCTTCAGAGACTTGGAAAAAATACTAAAAACCTCTATTTTTCTTCTTTGCCTATTGCTTTCTTTTTCCCCCAGGTCACAATTTGCTGTGGATGTGCAGACAACATCCTCCAGAGGGCTTGTGTTTTACACAGGCACTAAGAACTCCTTTATGGCTCTTTATCTTTCGAAGGGACGTCTAGTCTTTGCTTTGGGGGCAGAAGGGAAAAAACTGAAGCTCAGAAGCAAAGAGAAATGCAGTGACGGGAAGTGGCACACGGTAAGAGCTGGCTGGGGCTGCATTAGAACCTCCAGTTGGTGCAGAATTCACTGTTGAGTAGCTGAAAATAGGAGTCTCAGCATCTTCTAGGCATGAGGGCACAAGCACTGGGAGAGAGGTCTGTGGTCAGAGGCACTGAGCGCCCCAACCTCTCAGCACTAGAGACTGCTACACCATGCCTGGACGTCATCTTAAAAGGACAAGACGGGCTTTACTTCCTGCTTTTTCAGCCCCCTCCATGCCTCACTCCACCTTGCCTACTTCCACCCCTGCTTCCTGGACCATTTCTCTCCTTCAGGACAATTTCCAGATCTCCAGGCCCCATTCTATGCCTTCTCCATAGCACAGTGTAAAGACTCACGTTTCTAGAACCTTAGCTCTTGCTTCCAGGCACCCCAGATTTAAAGAAATACAGTTAAAGGCAAGAAGGGGCTTACTTTTTTTTTCTGATGAGGTAACTGGAACTCAGAAAACATAAGTGATTTGATAAGTTTTACTCACTTAGTCAACAAATATTTACTGAGCTGCCATCCTGGAGAATATAAACAAAAAATTCCCAATATAATGTCAGATACTGTTAAGTGCTTTGAGGAAACACTAAAGCAAGGTAAGAAAGTAACTGAGTAGAGAGGCTATTTTAGATAGGGTAGGGAAAAAAGCCCTCCTGCAGGAGGTGACAATTATATGAAGTTTTAGGGAGGATATCCCAGGCAGAGGAAACAGCATGGACAAACACCCTCAAGTAGGAATTAGCTGAATGAACAGACCAGCGAGGATAAGAAATGGAATTCAAAAAGCAAGGCAGGGCCCAGATAATGTAAGCTTTGAAGGCCAAGGTAAGGATTTGGATTTTATTCTGAGTGTCTCTGAAGCTTCTGGAGAGTCTAACACTAAAAAAGGAGCATTACATTAACAGATTTTTATTTTCAAAACTCTCTAGCTACAGAGACTAAAAGTGGGTAAGAGTAGACAGAAGTAGGTAAACCAGATGGATTCTCTTGCCTTTGTTTTGAGAAGCCGGGTGGAAGTGGAAAGAAGTAGACCATCTGGGACGCGTTCTGGAGGCAGACCCAGGAAGCTTTGCTGATGGATTTCATGTAGGGTGTGAGAGTCAATATCAAGTCCTGTGATTTTGGACCAGCAGTTGGGTCAATAGTGAGACTTTCGCTGAGATGGACAAGATGGGGAGGAGGTGGATGTGGCTGGGGAAGGAGCAGTTTAGAGCTGGGGCAGTGAAGGATTTCTGGTGCGAACACCTCAGGTTGAGTTGCCTGTCAGATGTGAGAGCCCACACGTCAGGAGACAGTAGAGGCCAGAGGTCACAGCTGGGTATAAATGTAAAAATAGGGGAGCCTTTAGAAAATAGTCTGATAGTCATGATGTGGTGGAGTCCATAGTGGAGCCCAGGGATCCTGACCGTTAGCAAAAAGTTTAAAACACTCCTCTTGTTGGAAGAGAAATAGCCACTGGCAACTTGGTCCTGGCACCCTCCTCTAGGGAACGCATGACTTCCCGCCCCCCCTCCCCTTAGCTCTGCGCAAACTATGCCATCCCTTTTGTTGCACGTGTGTGTGTTTTATTTATATTCCTTTGGCTCTTCAGTTGTTTATCTTTTCTATGAGTTTCCAGATCAATTTTATCTTTATTAGTTTGCTTTTGAATAACCTTTTTTCACTCCCATTTGAGCTTACTCTGTTCAATATCTAACATAACCTCACAAAATGATAATGATGATGATGAGACACTAGGAAGAAAACTCTCTGATTTTTTAAAGCTACTTGAAGGGGTAGAAAAAAACATTTCTAAAAAAAATCTCCTTCGACCACTAGATAAAACACAGTAGCAATTGTCAAAGGCAGGAATATGATTAACTTATTTTCTTTACTCTGAAGGTGGCATTCGGGCAAGATGGAGAAAAAGGTCGCTTGGTTGTGGATGGTCTGAGGGCCCAGGAGGGGAGTTTGCCCGGAACTTCCACCTTCAGCCTCAGAGCACCCGTTTACCTGGGATCGGCTCCATCAGGGAAACCAAAGGTAAGTAGTTATGCTTCAGAGCCATAGATACAAATAATTCGCTGTATAATATAATCATTGTAATTATATAAGATATTCAAGAATATCAAAATACTCTAAATGATTTTTTAAAAATAATCTAATATCCATAAGCCTACAGAGAGGTAGCCACTCCCTATTCCCCACCTTTCATTTTAAAGATGCAGCTTGAGACATGGACCCTGATGGAATGGATGTGGGGCTTCTTCTTGGCTTTATAAATAGGAATCTCTTAGCCTCTCTTCCAGGGAACACAAAAACGTGCTTTTAAGTTATAGATGGGGATTTTTGATTAAGATGGTTTTCAGACTTTAGCAATTTGTGCCACCTTCAGCATCTTTGCCATACCCAGTAAAACATTCACTTAATAGTTTGCTCTCAATCAACTCTTTAATTTAAATTTGTTTTTAAAGGATCTTTTTCTCTCCCTCATACATGGAAACCCTATATATTTTTTTTTTACCACATTTGGTAGATAAGCATTAAAAGTAAATATATAAAAATAACAGTGTCGAAAGGGTCTACCTACATAATGTGCTCTACATTATCTTCTTTTGGAGAAAAAAGGAGCTCATCAAGTGATCGAGGGATGTTTAAGACATATTAGCACAAAACTAAAATTTGTTCCTTGCACTAATCTAAAGGCTGGAAAAAAAATTGAAAAAGGAATAACATTACAACTAAAAATATGTGTTTTCATGTTATTTGGTGTCTAAAATTAATTTATCTCAAGAACCAAACTTGGGGGAACTTTGGGCTAAAGGAAAGTCACGAGTCCGTCACAAGTCCGTCTATCCCCAAGAAGAAGGAGTTCTTGGATTTGTCAAGTTCAAAGGCTCTGCTGGGCCATGACTCCAGGGCTGAGCTCTGTAATGCCCTCTCCCTGTCTCTCCTCTCATACTGCCAGAGCACTAATTGCACCCGGGTTACTTGAGGCAGCTGTACCCACCCATCATTCTTCTCCTAGATTTTCTTTTTTCCTTCCACTAAGTGAAGTACGATGGTCCTGTCAACAGTCCAGGCCTAGGAACTACCCTCCACCTAAATGCATGCCAGATACTCTTGGCCCCTTTTTCACAGCTGGTGGCCAATTCTGATGTGTTTGCAGTGGCAGAGGAAGGGCCAAGACTCAAGTCTGAGGCTGGAAATTAACGTAATTAAAGCAGGTCATTTCCTCCAGCATGGATTCTAGGCATTCAGACCGATCTCACCTAGGCCATGGTGTCTCCACAAGGCTCAGCCTGGTCCACTTGAGTTTTACACTAGAATTTGGGTCAAAGCTCCAGCAAGTCATAAAGTATTGTTTTGCTTTATTATATATAATAACATGTATATCATAAAAATAGATAACAATATAGTATATATAACATATAATATCTATAGAATATATAACATATTAATTGCTAAGGAAGATACTTAATGTTACTGTTTGTTTTTCTGCAACCTCTGTGCATATTTCCCTCTCAGAAATCACAGGATGGGATAGCTATTCAAGGGCATAATTTGGGTATTCTTTTGACCTGGGTAAACACACTTAGCATCCTACTATCTGGGACAATCCATAGCACCCCATTTACGACATTCTTATAAGGCACGGTTCTTTTTGCAGCCTTACATCAACCTGAGGGTGCAAACCATTGGATTACCCTCCTCCAAATCCTCTTAAAGGACAGGCCACGTCCAACCAAACCGCATCTTCCTCTGAATACCAAAACCCGCCGTCAGCCTGTAGGGGTTCAGTGTTGGACTATGGCCTATCCTAGAGAGTCTGAGCTTGGTCTCAGCTATAGGCTCTTCATTCTATAAGATGGCAAATCTTAAGAAACTAAAAATTTCATAAAGAGCCAAATCAGTATCTTATCGTTTACACTGTCACAACATGCATGTCTAATATCAGCATACTCTCTTAAAATTATCATGCCTTGCCTCTGTCATGTAGGATTCCAGGGTCCTAAAGGCATTTATTCTAGAAGGGAGTTTAGTGATTTAGTTCAGTGATTCTTTAACTCTTTTGAGAATTTTGTGAAAGTCAGCCTCTCCCTCTAGGATAATGCACATACAGAGAATATCTGATATGTAATTTAAGGGATCACAGAACCCATAAGCATGTCCCTAGGCCCCAGGTGAAAGTTCCTGTTCCAGGCCAGCTTTAAAAGGCACGGAGCTCCACGCAAGCCCACTGATGCTGCACACCACGTGTTACTTAATTCTACAGCTTTCATATTTTTTTGGCAGTGCAATGAGCCCAACAATGTAGGGAATCTTTTTACACTTTATTATTTTTGGAATGTTTTGGCCTCTTTTCTCAGTCAGCTGCCTTGCATTAAGCAATCACATGGGCTCATGAAACCCTAAGAAATGGTTTGTACCTGCAAAGAAATGGTGAGACCTGTGAAGTGTAAGATGGGAATTTCCTCTACTGCAGCTCTGTCTGTACAGACCAGAGTCAGGTCCCCCTCTCTGTTCTCGTTCCAGCACTAGCGAGCAACCTCTACCGCCCCTGCCCTCTGCACACACACCGCTTGGTTTGATGGCACCTTCAAACTTTGACCACCTGCCAGAAAGCTGGTATGCAGGTTTTTCTTGCACTGTGGGCCAGAAGCCAAATGGAACAGTCAAGCCCACCTGACTCTTTTAAACAGGAAGAGAATTAATCCTCCAGACTTTCCCATTTAGTACACACTGCGCCTGCCCTTAACCTTGGCTGCACGAGCATTTCTGTGAGTTATGGGTAATGAAGTTTGCTCTCTCTCGTGCTTGGCTGCAGGGTCTCCCCAAAAACAGCTTTGTGGGATGCCTGAGGAACTTTCAATTGAACCTGAAACCACTGGACACCCCTTCAGCAAGCTTTGGTGTATCTCCTTGCTTGGGCGGCTCTTTGGAGAAAGGCATTTATTTCTCCCAAGAAGGAGGTCACGTCAAACTGGGTAAGGAGCAATTTGGAAGAGTTTACGTGTTTGAGTCTTTTGAAGAACTCCATCCTTCTTCTTGAATTATGATGTTTTAACTGTTTATTATTTTTTCTTTTGAAAGCTAACTCTGTGTTGTTGGGGCCAGAATTTAAGCTTGTCTTCAGCATTCGCCCAAGAAGTCTCACTGGAATCCTAATACATATCGGCAGTCAACCCAGGAGGCACTTATGTGTTTACATGGAGGCAGGAAAGGTACGTAGCAGTCCGGTGACATGGGAACAGCAGATGAAGAACATTAGAACCAGATTCCATTTTTGGAGACCATAGTAGGTGAAGAGACGGTAGAGAGTGAAATCTGATCTTCTTTTTAAGAGACCTGACTTCAGGGCTCACTTACCCTTTTCCTTTAACAAGTAATTTGATCATCACATTTTCTATTCTTCACCTTTAAAACTGGAAAAACTCAAAACAAGCTAGGCTGAATTCCAGCTGCACCACTTAGTTGTATGACCCTGGGGAAGTTACTCAATTTCTTTATCTTTCGAATGTAGATAATAATGCTTATTTCTTAGGGCTTGTGTCACAAGAATAGAAACTGCCACATACTCAATAAATGTTCGTGTTTACTCCTCTTCTTCACCCTTGTCACGTCTCTACTTTTACACGTAAGGGCAGTGCCAGGATTTATGGAATACGTTTTCCTCACCAGCTGTCTACACCATCTTACACCCATGCCCATGGTCTTGTGTTACTGAATCAGTTTCAGATTCCCCTTTTCCTTTCACTACAACTCACCAGCCTTTCTGGGCCCTGCAGCCAAGCTGGCCCTTGGGTTTCCACCCAGGCTTCCTTTGGCTTTTCACGAACTCTTTCTTCTGTGTATGCTTCTGCTGCTTCATCCTTCCCATTACTCACAGGCCTAGTCAATATTTTATTTTCATGACCCAGTTATATCACTTTCCTTCTCAAAAAATCTTTTTTTAAAACCATATTCTTCTAGAAGACTTAAAGGCAAAATTGATAACAGGCCATTCTCTTTCACCTTCATCCTTCCACAGTTTATTAAATGCAAGGGGAAAACTCCAAGAAGAAAACAAAATAGTCCAAACTCCTAGACACTTTTTATTTAAATTGCAGCCTTTACGTCTAGCAGGCCTCTGGTAGGCCAGAGATGCAAGCAATGATCTGCTTGCTGACGGCTGAGACAAGGCTGACTTTTCAGGGTTGGGGTTGGGGAGAGTCTCCAGCGAGAGCTTCTGGATAGGAAATAATCACAGAAAATAAAATCAAGACTCGATGACCTCCATAACAGCAGTCACATTGTTTAGCTTAAAAATCGCCTGAGAATAGACTGCACTCTCTAGCTACATGTAAATTATTTACCAAGATGCTTATTTCAGTCCTCTCATTTCATTCACCTTGATTCAGCCCTTGGAGAATCCTGGCCCAGAGAGTGAGAATGTGGGATTCTACAGAGTAGCATGCTGTGTGCCTGACCCTTGACACATGCCCAATACAAATGAAGTAGGTTAGCTTGTTGATTTCCTTGGACGAAACCCTCTATCAGTCATGCATTCATGGGATTATTATAACTAGCTGGCCTTTGCAGCAGGATGTAAGCCTCAGCTAGCATATTTGCCTTCCAAATTTTACATCCTTCTAAACAGACTCACTGTCACTTATAATAGCTAAGGAGGATCTTTGATGCTAATCAGCAACCTCTGAGTAGTGCCTGGGGGTTAGGATGCTGAAGGAAGGGCTCACTGCCTTGGGCAAAAACTCCAGGCAGGGCCCTAGGTTTGCAGCTTGCTTGCCTGAAAGAGATGCAGCAGAGAGATTCTTGCAAAGCCTTGGACCCTATGTGATCACTTGGTGTGGGAGTGGGGAACCTATATCTAAGGTGCTCCTGAGCTGTCAAGGTGGAAGGGTTGGGAAGGGAAGATGTCTGGGGAAGTTGGCTCCACGGGCCTTTCTCAAAAGAAATGGGAAAATGCATGTGTGTTTCAGGTCATGGCCTCTGTTGACAGTGAGGCAGGTGGGATCTTGACATCAGTCACACCAAAGCAATCTCTATGTGATGGACAGTGGCACTCAGTGACAGGTATGATATCCAATAGCTTGTTGTTCATACACTAACACAATCTTCCTTTCCATCTGGACTGGAATGTCCCAAATGCAGCCTCTGTTCAACCATCCATTAGTGTCTGAGTGGGGTCAGCCCACCAGGTTAACCCAGTGAGAACTTGTCCATTCTCACCCCTCAACTACATTTGCGTAACTCATGGCTGCTGCCTCCAGTTCTTCATAGGTACTGAGATATACATTTTTTTGATCCAAGCAAACTGATAAGCTGTGTTTGGTTTCAAGGTAGTATAACATTGTGATTTAGATTTTGTCTCTGAAGTCAAAAAGAACAAGAGGTGAAATCTCAGTGGCAGCCCTTACCTGTGTGACCTTGGGCAAGCTACTTAATTGCTTTTTGTCTTCAGTTTCCTCATCTTCACCATGGAGATAAAAAGAGTATACACCTCCCAGAGTTGTGAAAATTAAACAGGATAATGCAAATAAAGCGCTTAACAGTGTCCAATCTGTATTAAGTGCTTGGTTAGTATTTGCTTTTGCTATTCCTAAAGTTCATTGTTGGGTTATTTTTTTCAATAATCACTTAATATTGATGCAAGTGATTTAGACAAACCACTGAGAAGAGAACAGGCATATTCTCTCAGACTGAGTCTGCTATTTTATGAATAACTGTGGACATTAGTTTGGAGATATATTTACCTGTATGGGCTGAAATATCTTTTGTAAAAAAAGCAGTCTTTCCTTGGCTAATTTGAAAGCTAACTACATTGCAATTAGTTAACATTGTTAACATGGGAGGAATTTTATTTCGAGGATCAAAAGCGACTGTCTCTAGAGTCAGTTTTCAGAAGTCAGTGTCTTTGTGGGAAGAAGCTGAGCTCACGTGAGTTCATGCCTCTGGAGAGCCAGAGCTTGAATCCCAACTCATTCAACTTATACCAAGCCGTCTTGTCAAGCTCCTCAATGACTGAGAATCACATTCTCTTATCTGGCAAAGAGGAGCGATAGTATCTTTCTCACAGATTCATTTTAAGAATTAAATTCTGTAATACATCTGGAAGCACCTAAACACCACCTGGTTGAATTTTGTTGAATTTATGTCTAATTTCCGAATTCCTGCAAACAGTGCTCCCACAGGTCCTGCAGGAATGAGTTAAGAAGAAGCCAGTGGTGACACACTAGTGTAGACATTAAACAGCAGGCAGGGCTCCCCTCAGGTAATTCCTGACCAGCTTATTTTCCCTGCAGTCACCATAAAACAACACATCCTGCACCTGGAACTGGACACAGACAATAGCTACACAGCTGGACGGCTCCCCTTCCCGCCTGCCAGCACTCAGGAGCCACTACACATTGGAGGTGTCCCAGGTAACTCTTGTCCTGACTTCACGCATGTTGCCCCATGTCAGCTTTTAACATTTCCGTCTTAACTCAACAAATGTGATGCCCCAACCTGTGGGTTATCAGCAGGGCAGCTGTTGGCTAAATGCTAGAGACGGTGAGACCCTTTTCTCTAGCACATAGGGACACCCAATTGCCAGCAGTGGGTACATTTCTCAGCAAGCCAGGCCACATTACTGCTGCTTCCTCTTGTCTCGAGCCTGTAATTTATAAGCCTCTCTTAAGAGTCTGAATTAATCTAGAAGCTGATATCAGCAAAGAATCAGGAAAGGGGCTAAGAAACCAGTCTTTCCTCTCCAGTCATTAAGTTTTATGGCAAGTTATTAAGCTTTGTGGGGCCAGAATGGGGCAATCAGACAGGTTGAGATAGAGCCAGGTTCAAGACTAGAATTTTGCCAGGAAAGCGTCTTGTCATTCTTCACTGTTTTATGTCCTTCCAAATAGTTTAGTCATTAATTTTATAGGTCTTCTATAACCCATAAAAAGCACTAGCTTTCAGAGTTGTTATCTATTGATTTGGGCTGTGGAATCTCCTTCTTTGAAGAACTTTGAGAAGAGCCTTGTGCTGATCTGTCACAGCAGGTGGGGTGTTGGGTACCCGCTTAAAGGGAGGAAATGACTGGGTCATCTGAGACCCTGGGTCACTTTAATTCTAATCCAACTATTTTTTAAATTAGGTTCATTCATTTGACAGTATGGATTACCCATTGAATGCCTCTCCTTTTTTTGTTTTAGCCAATTTGAAGATCTTGAAGCTCCCTGTATGGAAATCATTTTTTGGCTGTCTGAAGGATATTCAAGTCAACCACATTCCTGTCCCTGTCACTGAAGCTGTGGAAGTCCAGGGGACTGTCAGTCTAAATGGCTGTCCTGACCACTGACTTGAACCTATTACACAGTGAGGAAATTCACCTTCAAAAGCATAGAATACCAACCCACTTCCCTCTCCCTACGCAAGATCATTCTTGACTTAAGACACCATGGGAATGAGTTTAAGAGCAAATCCAATTTTGAACTTCGACCATGCATACCCATCGTTTTGTCATTCAGTGCTATATATGTGTTTTATATACAAATCCTATTTCTTGAAGATGATGAACAAATTGCTATATGTTTTTGATAATGTCGTTTTCCACTAAAAATGAAATGTGTTTTAAAGATCATTATTTTCTACTTGTTAAAAATAAATAAATATCTTTTAAAGCACTTTAAAAATACAAAAATTTTACATGTGTTAAATGGCTTGATGGTCATTGATAATCATATTAATTCTTCAGCTCATGTTCAATGTGCTACCTACAATACAGTTTTCTACAAATAATTATTGAGAATCTACTGGTGAGGTCCTGTGTGTGTTCCATGTTGGGTCTATAGTCAGGTATAAGAAGTAATTCCTGCCTGAAGGAATATGCAAACCAATTGAGGACACACATAATTTTCATAAAATACTAAACTGAATTAATAAACTTATACTTCCACTTGGCTTTCCACATACATTCTGCTGCCAACCACGTCTAGATGATGATGATCGATTCCTTGAAAGCCAAAACTACCTAGTAGGAAAGATGAGATGGATATACATACTATAATTAAAGCTTTCATGGCAAGCTGACATTAGTCAACAGGGAAGAGGAATTGCTTCTAGTTTTATCTGCAAAATCATGAACCATGTACTAGATCAATGTTATGACCCAGCATCACTCTCCCTAACAAAGAAGACTATACGGCATTTCTATATCTTCTTCATAGTGTTTATTCAGGAGGAAAATAACAAATAATCCCCAAATTTGGATATATCATCATCCTATATGCCCTCCACCTCTGAAACTGAGGCAGCCATGTTCCCTTAAAAGAACACAGTGCTCTTTCACGACCTTCACACTGCAGTCCTGTGGGCATGCTTTCTAACAACCATATCTATGTAAACACAGAATTGTTCTCTTGGAGAGGTAGAAAGGCCCCATCACAAGGGTTAGTCAACAGAGGCTGGCTGGTAGACTTTAGGGATGCTATGCTGGGTCAGAGGTTAAATGGCATGACCTTAAGTCACATGCTTTCTGAAAACATTGATTTCAAATGAAAACTCCACCAGGTGATTACCACCCAGACACTGCGTCTTCATGAAGTGCATCCATTTTACCTCTTTTGCAGGTCTACACTAAACAAGGTTCCTGGTATTAACTGAATCTACAAAGTTATCCATTAGTGCTAATTGTTCATCGGCACTTTCTGGATTCATTATAAAGGGGAAATTAATTCTTCGCTAATACCATGGTTTTCTCTCCATGTTGTAATAGCTTGAAGAACAGCAGTCTGCTTTTGCTGATTATAATCTCAGTCACCAGACGGCAGCAGAGAGTGTCACAGACGGAACATAGTTGGGGAGAAAAGCCCTCAGTGTGACTCTTCTCAGATTGTAAATGTGTGTTCTCTGAAAGGAATGTTTACAACTCCTTGACTGAACTGTAATGGAAATTATTTATAAACTGTAAAGTGCCTTACAAATATTATCATTGTTTTCTTCTTCCTGGCTCACAGCCTCTCACAAATTGTTCTGACTTTGGGGTAACAGGCTAAGGAGGGACAGCAAAGTCACTGGTGGTTGACTTTGATCAGTTCACGAAAGGTCCGCAGTGGTTTCATTTTGGTCCAAGGGAGTGGAGCCTGGATTGTGAGAAAACCTGTTGGTTTTTCAAGAACATCTCTCTGGCCAAAGTCTCTTCAGGGACATGAGTGAACTGTGAAGCAATCGTGTGCCTTCACAGGCTATTTCCTTCAACACCTCTTGATCTCAATACACAGAGTTGTTGAGTTTTTGCCACACTCACAATAACCCGCTGTCAGAAATCAGTGGCCCTGGGCAGAACATGCTGACATTCTCTTCCTCTCAGATAGGAAGTGGCCTTGCTTCCCCATAGAGAACTTTGACTCAGCTCCTTTCTGCTCCCGCTCCCCCCACAGTGCTGCACTACAAAACCCCAAACCCCAACTTCTGCCCTCCCAACCATATTTACTCCTCTGTCTTCCAGTTCGCCTGTTCTCTCTTTATTAATTCCAACTATGGGTAGGTCAGTGCTAGCTCCAGAAAGGCAGATTCTTTCTTAAGAATGATGACAAAGGCAGCATATGAGTAGAACCATTTTTAAATAACATTATTTTATTGTCTACAAGTAGTATATATGTTCATTATAGGAAAAATGGAATATGAAGAAAAGCATAAAAATCACCATAATCTCATCACTCAGAAATCTGTATTTAGTTATATGTCTGTTATTTTTAAATGCACATGTATTTTCTTACAAAGTCACAATTATAGTGTATGTATTGTTTGTCACATGGTTTTAAAAACTGTATAGTGAGTGTAGTGCATTCCATCAGATGAATTTAGCGTAATATATTTAACCAAACTTTAATTATTAGACAACTGGATTTTTTTGGGCGGGGGCGGGGCAGAGCAATTATAAGCAACACTAGAGTAAATATGTCCTGGAATGTAAATTTATTTATTTTCTTCGGATAAAATCTTAGAAGTAAAACTACTAGGCCAAAGGATATGTTTGTAGTTAGCTATTGCCAAATTTTTTCCTAAAAGGTTATATCCACTTACACTCAAAGCTTCTTAAACGGGCCTTTGCCCCTAATGCCACTAAATATAAACTCACCAATGTCCACCCATGGTTTTCAAGACGGGGCACCTGTTGGAACAAACCAGCTCACAGAGCTCCACCATGTTCCGGGCTCATCTGAGCCAAAATCACACCACCTGAAACTGCACGGTCAGCTGATGGGCTCTAATGGGCAGTCCTGCAAACGCCTCAAGAGAAATGGCGATTTTATCATCTGTCTCTAAGACCCAACACTGAGCCACAGACACAGCCAGGGTTGAGAGCGTGACACTCTTAGAGAGTTCGAAACAAGTGCCACCCCTGGGATGTGCTTCCAGAAAGGAGCCAGGCACTCCTCCGAGGGTTTGAAGAGTGTACTGTGCTCTTCGAGCAGCTGCTGCCTCTTAGCCATAGCTCTAGCCAGCGGCTTAGTCTTCTTCCACCTTGTAAGTTTTCCTTCTTTGAGATTGAAACTTCCGTAAGGATTCACCTAGGTAAAATTTCTGGGTTGGTTTTTTTTTCCCCTGCTGTAGTAAAGTTTTATTATTTATTTATTTGCTTGTTTATTTATTTTTATTTCCCATTTCTACCCCTCCTGTTTGGCAACCATCAGCTTCTTCTCTATGTCAATAAGTATGTTTTTGTTTTTTTTTTGTTTATTCATTTATTTATTTATTTTTAGATTCCACAGATAAGTGAAATTATACAGTATTTGTCTTTCTCTGACTTATTTCTCTTAGCCCAATACCCTCTAGGTCCACTCGTGTTGTCGCAAATGGCAAGATTTCATTCTTTTTAATGCTGAATAATATTCCATTGTGTATATATACCACATCTTCTTTATCCATTCATCTATTGATGGACATCTAGGTTGCTTCCTATCTTGGCTATTACTAGTAATGCTGCAATGAACATAGTGGTGCATATATCATTTAGAATTAGTGTTTTGAATTTCTCTGGATAAATACCCAGAAGTGAAATAGCTGGATCGTACAACAGCTATGATTTTGATTTTTTAAGGAAACTTCATACTGTTTTTCATAGTGGCTGTGCCAATTCACAATCCCACCAAAAGTGTATGAGGGTTCCTTTTCTCCACATCCTTGCCAAAACTTGTTCTTCGTTGAATTATTAATGATAGTCATTCTAACAGGTGTGAGGTGATATTGTGGTTTTAATTTGGATTCCCCTGATGGTTAATGATGTTGAGCATTTTTTCATATGTCTGTTGGCTGTCTATATGTCCTCTTGGGAGAAATGTCTATTCAGTTCCTCTGCCCATTTTTTAATTGGGTTGTTTTTTTTTTTTGGTGTTAAGTTGTATGAACTTCTTATACATTTTGGATATTAGCCTCATCAGATGTATCATTTGTGAATATCTTCTCTCATTTAGTAGGTTCTCTTTTCATTTGTTGATGGTTTCCTTCTCTGTGCAAAAATTTTTTAATTTGTGTAGTCCCACTTTGTTTGTTTGTTTCCCTTGCTTAAGGAGATATATAAAAAAATATTGCTAAGATCTAGGTCAAAGAGTTTATTGCTTATGTTTTCTTCTAGATTTATGGTTTCAGGTCTAACATTTAAGTCTTTAATCTATTTTGAGCTTATTTTGGTATATGGTGTAAGAAAGTGGTCCAGTTGTTTTGTTTTTTGTTTTTGTTTTTGTTTTTTGCATGTATCTGTCTAGTTTTGCCAACGCCATTTATTGAAGAAACTGTCTTTACCCCATTGTGTATCTTTGCCTCCTTTGTTGTAGATTAATTGATCATATAAGCAAGGATTTATTTCTGGGCTCTTTATTCTATTCTATTGCTCTATATATCTGTTTATATGCCAGTACCGCACTGCTTTCATTGTTGTAGCTTTGTAGTATAGTTGATATCAGGGAGCATGATACTTCTCACTTTATTCTTTCTCAGGGTTTTTTTTGTTTGTTTTTTGTTTTTGTTTGTTTGGTTTTGGGGGGTTTTTTCGTGTGGGTTTTTTTTTTTTTTTTTTTTTTTTGGCTATTTGGAATCTTGTGGTTTAAATGCATAAAAGCTCAAGTCCCATCTCTCTCATGACCCTGCCCCCGCAACAGAGAAATCCAAAACAGAAACTCTTTTTCACTTAACATGAGAGATAATGGTAATAGTGGTGGTAGTAGGTGGCAGCTGTGTCATGTTTCCAGTTTCTTAATTTGCCAACAATGTAACTTAATTCCTCAGCGCAGAGATTCTAACATAAGATCTGCATGCGTGAGTGTGGAAAGCAGAGACAAAATTCAATATTCCTGTTAATCATCCTCAGGGTGAGTGAAGAACAATTATTCTCCCAGAGTAGAAGGCAGGGTCCTGAGATCATGAATACTATTTACTGAAAATGTTTTATTCCCCTTTGATTGTAGACACTTTTGTGACCCCAGAATATAAAGTATACTTTTCCATTGCCAGAAGATTTTTATTCTCCATAAATTTTGAATGTGTGGTTTCTTCTACTTTACATCAAGTCCTTGATAAAATGAGAATTGAGAGTTTCAGAGGGTAAAGAACTGGAACTTACTGCAGTACTTTGGTCTTCATGAATGCACACAGATAGCACAGCACACACTTACTGATTAAACTATCCCTAGCTCAAAAGTTTTCTGCTAATTAATCAGTAACTTTAATTGTTTCAGACTCAGGGAGCATGCATTCCTGGACAGTTAGAATGGAGTTAGGTATCCGCTGATATAGCTTGG